AGAGAGAGAGAGAGAGAGAGAGAGAGAGAGAGAGAGAGAGAGAGAGAGACAAAACAATATTATATAAAGTTTATGAATTTGAATTTTGATTTTTTATGAAATGAATGTAAATCAATAAAATGATAATTGATTTATATTCAAACTCATTAAAATTCATTAAAATTCAGATTGAACGTAATGTAATCTTATCGTTTTGTATTCATTATTTTAAGCAGATAGATAATTAGTTCTCTCCCCATATTTCTGTCTATTCCGTTTTTTCGTTCTACATGAGATGACACTTTAACAAAACGATCAACGTTATAGTCAGTGAGTTAGTATCTTGCATTCGTTGAGACAAGACCCGCAGACAAGACTGCCTGCTAAAGATTAAACCCACATTTGTTTATGCTTGTTAGGTCGACACCGGAAACGGAATCGGCGACAATGGCAACTGGCACTGAGGACGCCTGTTCTGAAGGTTCAGAAGTAGATTGGTCGTGGCTCGAGGAAGTGGAGTGTCTGCGGACTGTAGATATGCTCGTGGTCGCTGATGTCGAACACGGTGAGCAAGTGGGGAAAAGTGTTTCTCCCACCTGCGGAACGATGGGGCGCAGGCGCGCCTGCGACCGTCTCGAGACTGGGCCTCGCAGTGTCGCGATGTCTGTCACGGCTGCGGCGAAGTCCCTAGCTGTTGGTGGTTCGCGATGGTCAGCCCCCGGTAGCGCGCTTCTCCTCGATCGTCAAAACAATAGCGTCAACCGTTACAACAATGGTCACCATCGCCAGTGTCGGAATGGCAATAACGATGACGAGAACAACGATAACGACGACGATGACGACACTACCGCGTATTCTAATGTTACGAACGAAGCAGTTAATCGTGAAAATCGTGACAGCGCGACAACAACCGATGTCGTCGGTGCTTCTGTCGCCGTCGCGAATTCGTGGATGCGCGCGTCTATGCGACGTTTGCGTCACCTACGACTGCCTGACAACACACAACGAGGTGTCCCCGTCGGTAACAGCAACGAATCGGCCAATCGACGTGCAGCTGTCTCGGCACCGAATTCATTGCCAGATATCGCGCTAATTGCACCCGAGATCCTCGCGGCACACACCAACGGCACTTCTGGCACGCTGTTACGACCTTCGAGCGCGCCCGCGAGAAACGTGACCGCGGCCGCCTCTGTCGCCGCGACGCCACGTCGAGCCGGTCGGCAATTCGCCGGTGGTAGATGGCGAGGCTCACGGAACCGAGATCGAGAGGCGTCCTCGAGACAGGGTAGCCTTATCTCCACCACGACGGCCAGCGATACCATCGCGTCCGGCACGACGACTTGCTCCAGTTCGTTCGGCGCAGTTTCTACCGGCTCACCCTCTAGTACGACGACCAGCCCACAGCGCGCCATTTCAAGAAGGTAAGTGCACACAGATCTGTAGTTTATTGCATAGACGACCGAGTTCGTAGTTCCATTAGACATATACACAATATTTCTGATATATTTTGACATCGCTAAAGAATGCAGATTCCATCGTGGGAACAAGAGAAGGTCCATATCAAAGTTTGTGTCGAAAGTTTATAGCTATTTGCAAATATTTAGTTTCCAAATATTTCAAAAGCATTCGATTTTAATGAACTTTATATTTACATCAAATTTACATGTGGTAAATTATTCGGAAGTTAACATTGTGATATATATTTGAATTCAAATAAAATTTTCTTTTATTTTGATCTTCGCAACAATAATACATAGTGTAAATATCTTAATAAATTACGTTTTTTTTATTTAAATGTATAGTTATAAAGAGCATCACGAACGGTAATCTCTTAAAGTTAAAATTTACGATGTGTTTAGCTGTAAAACAAAAATTAATTGAGAAGTATAGATAAATTAATAATTTAAATATATATATATATATATACATACATACACACACACACACACACACACACACACACACACACACACACACACATATATATATATATATATATATATATATATATATATATATGTCAGTACTAATTTTAATTATTCAAATTTTCTTTATGAGACACAGACAACTATAGGAAGAGAAAAATGTTCGTTAATTATAAAATCTATCACGATCAATACCAGAGTTTGATGATTTCTTTGAGATATATAAAAAGTTTGATAAAAATTAGGGTAATTATGCATTTTAACGGAGCAACTTCCAATGACTTTGATCTTGACATATGTTATAGAGGTCACTCTCCTGAGTAATCCTCAAAAAGTTTTAGACGGCGCCCGTTGTTTCTTAAAAAATTATTAACAAAAGAAGTTGCATAAAATGAATGTAATTTTTGGACACCGTATATACAAAAACAACGAATTTGTAAGCTAGGAAGATGCTTGCTACATACACACACACTACTTGGGTATCCGTGCGCTCACCCGCCTGACAGAGAGGGCTCGCATGTACGCTGAGTACGTATGTTGCTATTATATATACATATGCACTCAACGCGTCCTATCGGACGGGCGAGCGCATGGATGCCCAAACAGTGTGTGTGTGTGTGTGCGTGTGCGTGTGTGTATGTGCGTGTGTGTGTGTGTGTGTGTGTGTGTATGTGTACAGATCAAATGAGCAACTACTTTTGTTAATAATTTTTTAAAAAACAACGAGCGCCGCCTAAAATTTTTTTTAGGGTTATTCAAGAGGGTGACTTCTATAACATATGTCAAGATCAAGGTCATTGGAGGTTGCTCCATTAAAATGTATAATTACCAAAATTAGACTTTTTTAGATAATTTAATCTCCTAGAATTCTTTTTGTATTTTCAATTTTTCTTCTAAACGCTTGGGTCTCTTGCAATATTCAAACATGCTGCAAATGAGAAGAGAGTTAATGTTTTGATTGTTACTCATACCTCGTCTAAATTAAACACTACACGCTGTGGCTCCTATACTTTTAAGCATGGATTTAAACGGTTGGATCTCTTGCAATATTCAAACATGTCGCAAATGAGAATAGAGTTAAGGATTTGATTATTACTTATTCCTCGTCTAAATTAAATACTACACGCTGTGGCTCCTACAATCTTAAGCATGTATCGCAAAAAATTCGCGGTACACGTGTAAACACCTACATACTTACAACCCATACAGCACAGTAATATTGAATCAATATTGAAAGAATGTTGAATTGCAACAATGTCAATATTGCAGGAACATTGAGAAACATTGAATCAACGTTGCACAAACCTTGATATAATGTAAAAATTGTTGCGCGATTGTTGATTTTTCCTTGACATTTCAATGTCTTATTTATTTTTATTGTTTCATAAAAAAACTAATTCCTAATTTTTTCATGTCTTATAAACTGCTAGAAATCGAAGATTGTCAAAACACACTCTAAAACTTTCGTGAATCCTCCCCTCGATAATTTTGAATCCAAAGTGATATGCCGGTCACCATCCATCCTGACTACATTGCTTAACCTGACGATCGAGCGGCACGCAGTGATTCCAATGACTCCAACGATGTTCTTACAATTTATGCTTACAAAATGTATACTTGCAATGTTCATAGTATATTATAACCTGGCAAATACACGCGTTAATTCACCTATCTATTTTATTTAATATTTCTAAAGTTTATGTAGTTATTTGCAAAATGACTTCGACTATTCCTTCCAGTTTAATGTTTTTTATGCATTTTTTGTTATCGATACAACTTGCGTCAAACTCTATAATAGAGAATATTATGAAATAAAAGAATATTCAGGGTTTGCGCAAAATTGCTTAAACACATTTCAATTTTACATATAAATAATAAGAAAAATATATATGATTATGATATATCGTAATATAATATGTATAATACATATATATTAATATAATAAAATTTAATAATAATTTATTTTATTATTATTATTATTAATATAATAACAAATTTTTCCATAATATTATCAATAATAATAATAATAATTTTCAATGCTCCTCAAATATTGTTGCAAAAAATTGTACTTTTTGTTCAATATATATTCAACATTGCAGCAATACCTTGTAATCAATTTTGAAAAATCTCTCAACATAAATTCCATGTATAAAAACATCCACACTTCTGTTTTCAATGTTGCAACGTCTCATCAAGATTTTTTTAACGTTCTGTGCTGTATGGGAAGGAACACAAGCATCATTAAAAATTAGGAAAGAAAATAGTATCGTGAAATTAGAAAGTCTTTGTTGTCAGAACTTAGGCGATATAAATATACTAGATCAGAGCTCGGAATAGTTTGCCCATTTCAAACGATTTTCGGGAGCTACGCCTTCTATCTCCTCTTGCCGCGCGGCGGACCACGTAACTGACGATCGCGGCTCTCAGCCTCAGGGTCGTTGAGTGACGCATTAAGAGGATTGGAGGGTCAGATTGCCTGAAAATTGCTTGTTTTTTTTACAATTTTTTATGACAAACTGAATGAATATGCGAAAGTGTTATTTTGACATGTATTTATACAACATATAAAGAGAAGAAAAATATAATTTTAATAATCAAATACTCAATATAACCCAAATAGCACAGACATCCTATGGATGTCCATTTTATGTCCATTTTACGTTCGCACGTCCATGGACATGCAATGGACGTCCATTTGATTTTGGACATCCGTTAATGTCCATAATTTAGATGTCCATAAGATATCCGATCTTGGACATAAATGTCTTAAGTATAAAATTCGACTACAGGCATGTTGAGAATGCGCGCTATCGACGATACATATCATTTTATTCCCAGGCAGCAACGTCACATCATTTTCACGTCGATAAATGGTGATTACCAGTCCTAGACGTCATGTAACCAATAACTGACATTTAAAAAATTGTGACGTGATAATAACGTCATTTGAAGACGTCTATAATACGTTTTTGAGACGTCATTTTTAATCAGCAGTTCGATAAGCAAAAAATGTGACAGATATTTATCTAACGTTTATTTATATCAACTGTAGTATGTAAACCAACAGATTATTATTTATACACGTTGTTATTTATTTTTTATTTGCTTGCATCTCAAGCATTTGATTTTTAAGGAATAAATCTTATAGAACTTGTCCTACCATTTCTTAGTTATGAGCATTGCATCGTTGCAATTATTCAGTTAGTAGGATGATGTTCCAAGATATGTTAGTGAGAAAATATTGACGCAGATAGCACAGAGATGAGTAGAAGTTCATAGAGAATTCATTTTAAAGAAGACTCTACCTTATTAGCTAAAGGTTAAATTAACAATAAAAGTACAAAAAATAAATTGTTATTAAAATTAAATAATTTTATTAAATCATATTATCAGAAAATTATATTACTGTTAATTACAACATATATGGACAAAATGTAAGACGTTTATATCGATCGATGAAGTGTCGTGTCTAAAGCAACAGATTCATAATCGAGAGGTGTCTCGCGGATCCAAGTTCGAGTTCCATCAGTGCCAGTGAGAATTTTTAAATGTGATGTAACATTGGAATCAAGTAATCTAAAATTTTCAAGTGAAATCAGCAAACGCTGTGACATTTACAAATAGTTTCTGTTAGAAAATTGAACCGAATAAGAATATTCCAACACATCATTTTTATGTCTCTTTATGACGTCATTTTCACTTATTATGACGTTTTAGTATGACGTCGGTGGGCTGTGACTTATTCCGGTCATTTTCACGTCATTATTACGTGATTATAAGTGGATAATTGATGTCACGAATTACCAAAAACTGACATGAAAATCACGTCACGTGTTGTCTGGGATAGATGACCAAAATAGGTACAGAAACAGCCTTATTTCGGATATTTTATGGATATCTGAATTTGTGGCAAACGTACATCCTACGTATTAGAACCTTAACTTAGTTTCCGCCCGCAAATGTTAGATGGCAATGCAAACAGTTCTAGTAGTCATTACTAACGAAACAGGTAGTTTGTGATTAATTTCGACATTTCTCGATAACATTCAGTCAGCATACACAATTATTTTCCTAAACAACAATTTCTTTTGCTTTGTGAAAAATGGAACGCGATAAAGTGTTTTTTCGACATGTGCTTTTGCACTATTTTGATTTGAAAAAAA